TGTAGGTGATCACTGCGGTACAGTGATGCAGACTAGGGGTGACAGGGAGACCAGTAAGAGGAGGGGTTGGTATTTTGGGCGAGAGAAGTTGACATTCTGAATTAAGGCAAAAACATGGGAACGGAAAGGAGGGTCTGAAATGAGATTTGACAGATGCTGCGACGGGGTTCTTAACAGCTCATCTTCTCACTGCGTTGCTCCAGGAGACACTTTGCCTATTGGTTTAATTTCACTTAGTAGAGAGGCTTTTCACTGAACTCAAGGTCATTACGAGTTGATCTCCCTGGTAAATGCTGGAATAAACGAATACTTATTTGTGTTTCTAAATACATGCAGGATGAATACTCTCTTCAAAGATGTTTTTCCAAATGTACTTATTTCCTCTCAAAGCTCTATTTCCAAAGACAGATGAATATAGAGGACAATGATTAATAAGTACAAACATAATTTTTTAAAAAAAGTACAGTCATTCTTTGTGTATAGATACTCAAGATAAATATAAGGTTCAATGTCAGAAAATGACACTCAGGAATGCTTTATCTCCATGTTGCAAACCATTTGCATTTCCTCTAGGTATTCCCAAAATCTTCTAAATTTTGCATATTTTTCCCTCTCCCCATATGATACTTATAAAAAGATGACTTGAGGTATTTTGAGCACACCGATTTTATTTTAAGGGAACTGGGATGCTAGAAAAATACATACATCTAGACATTTAACCATCAACACCAGAAAAAATACTTTCAGATTTCTAGAATACTTTGTTCTCCTGGATACACAGTTGAAGTAAAAACACATCTTTTATTAATAGGCCCTTATTAAAAGTGAGATTAATTGCTAAGATTATGTGAGATTAATTTTCCTAAGTAAAAAATAAGGGAGCATTTCTTACTGAATATGCGCTCGGGTTGCTGTACCCTTGAGTTCTTGCTAAGGTTCTTGGTGGGTAGGATTTAGGCAGGCTGCTCCTTCGAACGTGGCTGTGAGGGGTGGGAAGGTGGTTTTCACCTGTGAAGTGAGCTTAAGAGAGATCACAGGTGAGTCGAGCTCACCTGGATGGAGCAAGGGCCACGTTGCTCTGTGCTGACCTGCACTGAACCACCGGCAGTGGCGAAGCACGTTCCCTTGACCAGACGCGGGAAGCTCAGAGCAGTCCCTGGATGCAGCGGGGTGGAAACCGAGACGCAAAGGAAGGGGCCATGGTGATGTGCAACGCACAGGCTGGCAGAGGCCTGCTGCCCACCTGGAGGACCAGGTCCTTCCATTTAAGGCCCAAGGAACCCGAACTTTGCCCCACGCTCATTCTCAGATGTGCCATAACTATTCTTTCTATTCTGTCCTAGTTTTGGAGCTGCTTTTTAGAATAAAGCTGCTATGCTTTCCTCTGCCAGGGGAGTGGGCTGCTGCACTAAAAGGGGAGTGAGCATTTCTTGGGTTTAAAAAAAAGAAAGCAAAAAAAAAGCAAGAGTTTCTGGTGAAGCTCAAGGGGTGTTATTAGGAGCTGACGGCTCCCTGAGCTCTCCTTCCTCGGCCACTCAGTCACCTGCGATTGTAATTGTGAGTCTTCCAAATATTTAAATTGCTGAACAAAAAACAGCACCAAGTAACTTTAGTGATGCATAAAACTTCCTATCTTTTTCTCAATGTTTGGCCATTTTAAGCAAAAAAAACTGATGGGGTTGATCAGATGATCTAGTCATTTTTTCAATTTCTCAATGCCATGGATCTAAAAGAAGCAAAATGGGGTGAAAAGAGAACACTTGTGGTTGGTGACTGTAACATGTTCCCTGTTGATTGGTAGGAAAATCCAGTTATGATGGAAACATCTAGAACCACAATTTCTATGCTGAGGTTTTTCATGATATGGATACAATCTCACTGCATTGTAAGGATCACAGACAGCAAGGTTTCCTGTTAAGGTCACTTCTGACCCACAGCAGCATGGCAGTCTCCTCTGGGGGATGTTCTCTGCCACCCTCTCCAGGCTCCTTTCAGCTGAGGTGGCAGTTTAACCATGAGGCTGAAATTCAAACACAAGGGAGGAAGGTAAAGACAAGACAAAATCAGTCATTTGTTTCAGAGATAAAAGAGACCCCTCACATTCCCACCCAGAAACTGAGGTGAATCAGGAAATGGATGGCGTTTTTCAAATCACATGAATCAGCGCCCCAGAATTCATCATTTTCACCAAGTGTTTGCCTGGTTTTCATTCCTTTATATTATGGCTCACCTAATACAGTTTAGGGAGAGCTCCGATTTCATGTTTAAAAGAAGATAACTAAACACTTTCATTTTGAAATGATTCCCTCTAGTTTTGACTGTGATGAGAAGCAGCTTAATGTCACATGGGCTTCAGCTAAGACTTATCAAAGGAAAAAAAAGAAACTCAGAAATTGCATTTGGGAAAAGAACATACCTGTGGATTCTTTTAAATGAGTTTTGTTGTAGAGAGCCTACTTCCGTGCAGGGCCTCGGGTGAATATTTCACTTGTACCAGTTTCTTTTTCTGTGAATGTTTACAAAGGATGTATGTGCCAGCAGGTTTGTTTAAGCTCCTGGCAAGACCATAGCTCAGAAAAGTTCAGGAACTTTCTCCAGGTTGCAAGGTAAATCATGACTTCAGTTTAGTTCCATTTAGTTGTAAAGGTGCATCCTAAATTATTATTTGGTTTCTCCCGTTCCTCATTTTTATTATTCATTTATTTATAATTCATTATCACTAAAAATACATATTTTAACAACGCTTTGGTGTAGTCTGTAAGTACCTGTCAAAGTGCCGCCCCCTTGCACTCTAAATCACCACACACATACACATGGGCTCCCCTAGTTGCTCAGTCAGTAAAGAATCTGCCTGCAATGCAGGAAACCTGGGTTCAATTCCTGGATTGGGCAGGTCCCCTGGAGAATGACTACCCATCCCAGTATTCTTGCCTGGAGAATCCCATGGATTGCCTGGTGGGCTACAGTCCATGGGGTCTCAAAGAGTTGGAAACGACTGCGTGACTAACACTTTCACTCCTTTCACAGACACATAAAGTTACATAATTTATCAAGTTAAATGTTCTCAGCCCTCTTTGGGTGATACTTCTCCCCGCTCAGCCCTCTATATGCCTTTAAAAAAATTTATTTATTAATATTTTTTAATGCCTTTAACTGTAGTGTTGAGGGGCAGAGGACGAGGAGCAGTTAAACACGTCGAATTCTAGCTTGTCTCCCTCCGCCCTGGCAGCTGGAAGATCCAAGGTCCACAGAGCCACCCTTGAATGGTGTCAAGTGTGAGGCTGGCTTCTCCTTCCGCCCAGGAGCAGAGCAGCCTGGTGAGACCTTGGCCAGCCTCCGCCCTCCCCAGGAAGCACTCCTGGGTCTCCCTGCCACGCTGGCAAGAGAATTGGAATGTCGGGAATGGAGCCGGTGCCCCAGGTGCCCCGCACAGAAGGAGACCTGTTAAAGCTTTTCCTGAAGGCCCCAGGGGTCCGGCAGCTGCTGGGCACCTGGCTGAGTGCCCCCAGCGCAACCCGGGGAAGAAAGCAGCTCAGACGCCCGCCCAGCTACTGATGTTTCCTCCGGACATCTTAAGGAAATCCGAGTGACGCCCTGAGTTGTACCTCCAACCGCTCCATCACCAGCCCTACAGACGGACTGGAGATTTCAGGCTGGGCTGGGCTTCCACGGAAACCAGCGGGATTACTTTCATTTAATTCTTTTATTTTTTAAAAAAAAATTCTAGAAAATAAAGATAAATCGATGTCAGTTTGTTTTTCTGTTGTCTTTCTCCTAGACCTATGTGGCGCCTGCGGGGGCCCTGACACTTCCAGCCAGCGACGGGTTGTCTTTATAGATGAACGCCACCTGGCTATTGTCACTGCAGTACCAGGGCCGCGGTGGGGCGTTCAGGAATTTCCTCACCCCAGCGAAGCTTGAAAGCCACGCTCCGAAGCCCAGCTGGAGAGAAGAGGGCCCAGAGAGACTGTCCCCAACCCCCATCCAGCAAGGCCAGGCGCAGCCCTTCAGCATTCCCTCCCAAGGTTTTGCAACAAAGTACCAACGCACCTTTTTTTTTTTTCCCCCAACGAATTCCAGGAGTCTTGAAAGGTACTCTGCTTTTCAACTACGAATCTTTTTCGCCTGAGTACTCGCTCAATCAAGGCGAAAGAACCGGCCGAAGTGCAACAAGTAACATTTGCCCCATAGCTGGAAGAGACTGCTGTCCATCTGGGACATTATCCTCTCTTAACACGCAGCCCGGCCACTCGGGGATCCCCTGACTTGCCTCCCGGGTTCGCCGAATTTGTTCGCTTCTCTAGTTCAACGCTACAAAAATTGACCCCATCTAGCCGGGAGGCGCAACCCGCCCCGTCCCCCCACCCCCCCACCCCCGACACGCTCCTCCAAGAATCCGCAGCAACTTCCCTCGGTCTTTTGTGAAGTTTTCAGCGCTGAGCACACAAGAGGAACAAAATCACACACTCGGAGTCCAAAGGATCCCCGCGGCCCTTGCCCATCCCCACCCCCCATCCCCCGGCCGGATTAGCCGGGGGGTGGGGGGCGCGCACGTACCTGGAGCTAAGGTCGCTGGAGTGGACGCGCCACGTCCCGAGGCTCGGCCCGCGCCGCCTGCTGCCCTTTATACCCCTCCACCCCAACCCCAACCCCCAGCAGCCACTTCGGAGCGGCGGGACAGGGGACAGGGGGCGGGGAGCGACCGAAAGTTGCGAGGCGGGGGAGGGGGGCTCCCTGAAAGTCAACGCTCGAACGCCCTCGCCCTGAGCGGGCAGGAGTGGGGGCCTCCCCGGAGTCCAGGGGGGCGCCCCGGGAGCAGAGGAGGGGGGTCCAGTCCCGGGAAGGGGCGGTGTCTGGGGAGGGGCCCGGGAGGTCAGGCTCGGGGTGGGGCGCTCGGGTTTCACTCGGGCCGGGAGGGGCGGGAGGCGGGGCGGAGGTGGGCGGGACCGGGGCGGGGCTAATCGAGCGTAGGCGGGGCCGGGGCAGGGTTAGGGGCAGAGCTAACTGGACTGGGGCGGGGCCTGGGGCGGGGCGAAGCGGCCCCGCGCTCCCTGCCCGGGCTCCCCGCGCCGCTCTTCTCGCAGGGAAGGCAGCGCCAGCGGCTGCTGCTCTCCCTGCGGTGGCTCCCGCGCGCTGTGCTTCCCGCCGCGGGTGGGCTCCGCAGCCCCCTGCCGTCCGCGGCCCCGGGCCCAGGGGCCACCCGCCACCACCCTCCACCTCCTTTCGGCGTGGGGGCGCCCCGGCTCTTGTGGCTCATCCCAGGGGCTCCCCTTTACCTCCTCCAACCGGCGGCTTCCCTGCGGAGCTGGCTGGAGCACCCAACTTTGCCTCCTCTCCCGCCGCTCCCTCTGGGCGCGAACCTGCTCACCTCCGGTCCGGCCGTGCGCCCGGGGACCGTGCGCCTGGGGCTCGAGCCGGCGCACCCCCGCTCCAGCCCAGAGAGCAGCGAGTTGGGGGTAACTCTAGGGAAGTGGCGTGGGGCGGCGGCGGCTGCTGCCTGGACTTCCTTCGCGGGCGCTGAAGAAGAACCTCGCAGCCGCTCTTGATCCCCCGGGAGCCGGATGACTGGCACGGTGAACGCGCCTTGCACCTGGTGAGCGACCCCTCCACCCCACCCCGCACTCAGACCCGTCCCCGCGTGGTCGTAAGCTGCAGCCGCGAGCGAGCCGCGCTGGGGGCCAGGACTCGGGGGCGGCAGTTGTTGGCGCGTGGGTCTTGTGGGTCTCGGGAGGGTCGCTCTGCAGGCGCGGGGGACACAGTTCCGGGGTTGCGCTTGCGGGATCCGGACTTCCCAATGCGGGGGCGGGGGTCACCCACAGTCGAGCAGGTTCACGGGCTGGAAGTTTGAGTCTCCGCCTTTGCCGAGGTCTGAGCGTGCAAAGGGAAAAAGGGGGAGCGACCCGGTGGGCCCCCGGGCGAGGGGAGAGAGGGCACCTCCTAACGCCTCCTTAAGGTGCACGGCGGAGCTCGCTGCACGCACCGGGCGCGTGTCCGGGCTCGCGCGGTAGGGAGCTGAGGGCAGGGTCCCGGTGGCCGTCACTTCGCAGTGCCTGCCTGGGGCAAGGTTTTCTGGTCGGGTGACTGGGGCTCTGCGGCGCCCGTGAGAAACCAGGAGGCGGTGGGACCCGGGCTCAACTCCTCCGAGCGCTGTGGATAAGCAGGGAGGAAGACCGAGGCAGGCGGCCGCCCCGATCGCCGCGGCCGGGGATGTATAGAGGCCCTGGGAGCCGCCGGCCCGATGGGCTGGCTGCAGCCAGGCCAGTCCCTTCCGCGGGCATCTCTCCCGCCGTCCCACCACTTCGCATCCCCTCCTGGCTTAGGATTTCGGGCTTGGGAGGCGGATCTAGGCGCCGGAGGGAGGATGCGCGGAGGAGCCGCGGCCGAGGAGGGGTCTCCCCGGGTCGCTCTCCGCCGCGGCGCGGGGTGCCAGGCCTAGCGCCGTCAGATCCCGGGTCCCCGAGCTTTGGTGGAAAGCGCGTTCACCTCCTCGCCCTCCCCTCGCTTTGTACCTGGATGCGGCTGGCTGTTGAGAGTTGGGGTTGAACTTTTCCTGCACTTGAGGCGTCCCGGGGACCCCCGGTAGGGGGCGCCGAGAGCGAGCGCTGGAAGAGGGCCTGAGGATGCTGGCTGGCTAGGAAGGCTTCCTCTGTGCCCGGTGAGTGGGTGGGGGTCCCGGTGAGTGAAGAGCAGGACCAGGCGGATCTTGCCATCATTTCCTAGAGGCGGAGGGTGGCGGGGTAGGTGATCTGTCGACCAGGGAGGGAGCCTTCTTAGAAGGGACAGGAAAGGTGGTCAACAAACTCAGGTCCTTTAAATAGAAAGACTCCTTCCAGAGACAAACGCATCCCTGTAAAATCTTCCTGTTTGTGCGTCTGCCTTCCTCCCCCCTGACCTTTGTATTTACTCAGAAAGAAATGGGAATCGGGTGAAGAGAATGTGAGTTATGTTTAATATTGACATGAAGTTCTCCTCCAGGAGCAGATTAGTGAAAACGCCAGGAGTTACAAATGACTTTTGCATCTTTTTTTTTTAATTAAGGTTTATGTTGAATCTTGTTTTTAGGAAAAGCAATTGTATGTCACAATCAGCTTATCCGGAAGAGCCCTGTCATGATGGCCAAGTTTGCAATCAACAGATATGTTATTAAATACAGAGATAGTCTTTACTAAGGACCCAGAAAGACAAAATCAGACTTTACCAGGGAAGATTTTAACACCTAATTAGGATTGCTAAATTAATTGCTGGTTAGTGCCACTTCCATTATTGAAGAGAGCGCAGAGTTTATCCTGCACTGTTTTGAATGACCAGTTCACACTTTCAGTTCTAGCTGATAATAGCTTAACTTGTGTACCATTTAAATAACTTTTCCTTTATGTCTGTGTTTACCCCAGAGGAAACAGGGATTTTGCACCCCCAAAGATTTTTTTTTTTCTTGTTTGTCTTAAATGAAAATAGCAGTCTGAAGTACAACTGCTTGGGCCACTTGAAACATTTCTTTTTCCTTAAGTTTCTTGCAGAAACTTTGCCATGATATAGCAGCTCATCCATGATGCTACACTGGTCATGCTAATTCTCTGCATACTCATGGACCCCTTGGGGTGAGGAGCTGGTACCTGCTTTTACATGCTTTTACATACTTTGCTTAACAGGGAGAAGATGGATGATGCTAATCATTTTATGTCTTTTACAAATTGCACTAACTTAATCAGTTGTTTTAATGGCAAGCAGCTGTGAGATTCCTGCTGCGAGCAAAGCCTTTGGTCTCCTGGGTGGTAAAGCTTGTTTTTGTCCAAAAGAAGTTTTGGGGATGTTCAAAACTTGATAAAGGTAAACCTGTGCTCTTCACTGCCGGTCTCCTTTTAAAATGATTCTTCTCCCTGTCTGAGTAGGGTGAAGCATAGAAATGTAGAGTGTAGTGGCTGTTAAAAGATGTTAGCCAGTGGGGCATGATGAATATGTGCGTATTCCCATAAACTTTTGCTTAAGTTTTAGAGTTTGTAGACCTTCTGAATCCCCAGCCATGGCTTTGCAGCAAGAAATCTTGTTCACATTAGACTCTTGATTGGAGATGTTAAAACCCACAGACTTTTCTATGTGTTGTATGATAATTGCTCAAAATAAGAGATGCCAGCTCCTTGGGACTCTGTCCTTTGCTCCTGATACTAGAGAGAACTGCTTAGCCAAATCATTACATAGTTTTTTATTACCTTGGTGATTATTTTTAATGATTCCAAATGTCTGTTTTTGTTGTTATAAAGTCACTGAAATGGAGGCGTTCCTTCTGATACACACACCGGGAAGTGGGGGAGGGGAAATTCCCCTTCTTCATTAAATGCCCAGCAGAGGTCTAAAGGCATCCCATTATATAAACAAGTAATCAACAACTCCAGGTTACCTAAGATTAGGATCTAGTCCATAAGAAGAGGTTTGGATCACAAACCCTACAGTTTGTGAGACAGAACAAGTTAATTAGTTTATACTATGGCAGAGTCAAGGAATCCATTTTTGGAGTATTCTGTGTACAAGTGTTTGAGCAAAGTCCCACATCCTGCAATAAACCCTCCATAATTTTTGATTCTAAAATTGTACTATATTTGTGTTTTAAAATGCTTCTGAACTTGTTGCTATAGTTACACAGACAAGTTGCTTAGGGTATAATTATAACACCAAGGTGACACATTTTTACGTTTACAGTGAAATAATTTTTAAAAGGTAAGTTGCGATGTCTAACAAATTTGAGTTACAGCCAAGTGCAAAGCGTGTGTGTGGAACCTTGGCCATTTCTGCCCACATGCATCTTTGTACATTTATACAGAGAAAGTCAACTCTTTTCTTGAGTCTTAAGATGAGAACATGTAAGCACTTTGAAGTTGTTTATACTTGTCTTTGTGTACTGTTGTTAACATAGATATTTTCACATAGGTCCCTGGCAGCCTTTTAAAATTGAGATGCAGAAGTTTTGTTGAAGATTGCTGATTTTTATCACTCTGTTTGCTGCCTTGTAGAAATGATCAGTTGTAGATAGGGGGCAATCTGTGGTTTCTAATTCCTGCACATATTGGTAGCATCTTAAAGATTAAATTCAACAGGTGAGGAGTGGCTAGCTCATTGGGAAGCTGTTTGAAGAAGCAGCTTTTGGTGTGTTTGATAAAGATGTCACTGACTTCTGTGATGAATTTATCAGGTACTGGTTATCCAGATTATACAGAATCAATTTCTAACGGCAAGAAAAGAGGAGAAAAATTAAAGCAAGCTGGAATATAAATAGACAAACTTGTTTTGATTCAGAATTTATACCAAACAGAACAAAGCAAATGAAAACTTGATCCCAGAGAAGGTCCAGTATAACAATTAAGTTATTGTTATGTACTGGTATTGACACAATTAATCTTTTTCATCTAAAGGTTCTAGATCTAGGGAAATTTGGCTCTGAATTTCACAGAGTATTCTGAAACAACTTCAAAGACAAGCTATAGGTCCCTGGGGCATGACATTTAAAATAGGATTAACCCAATGGTGGGCTCAAGGAAACAGAAAACATTCTCAAAGGAATTGCTGTTGTCTTTTTCTTTACCTTCTTTTATTATCCAAGATTAATGGCTGTTTGACGAGAGCGAAGTTGAGCACTTCACTTCTCTTTCCTACGTTTTAAAATGTATTAGTGTGGTACTGTTGCATTTGGAAAAAATTAAATCATTCCATTCTTTACTCTTTTTTTTTTCCCCTACATACACTCGAATTGGTTTCCTGATTAAGATTGAAGAACACTAAATTTTTAAAAGAGAATAAATTTTTAGAGGGTAATTTCTTTGCTTTCTGGAAGGCCATGAACTCACTAATCTTTATCTTCCCATCTGTCATTCTTTACTTGTCACCATCTCTCGGGGAAATCGGCTACCCTAGGGTTCATATAGAATGGTGAGGAGGTACATATTGGAATGATTTTATTTTATGTTGCATTTTTATGTCCATTTGCAAGTAGATCACATTACTGCAATAGGTAATTCAATTACAGATATGTATGATAAATAACCAGGAGATGGATGCTATCAGAAGGCAATTCTCCTGGAGAAAATAATACTGTATTTGCTGAGATGTGAAATTAAATAAGTTCTAGGCAAGTGACAGTCAGGATTGAGAATGGCCAAATTGTTCACAGGAAAAAGAGCCCCTTTCAGTCAGTTCAAATTCACCCAACATTTGGCAGTGATATATGATATGCCCATGTAAGAAAAAAGCAGAGTCAAACAAATAAAGCAATAAGAAAAATTCTGCTAAGCTGTGTCCTGTGAATTGTCTGCAGAAACATAAGATGGTTATTGCCTGGCTGTTAACTTCCTGGAACATATGCATTCCTCACCAACTGACCCCCAATACAATTCCTTACAGAGAACTTCCCCTTCTGTAAAGAAAACTGGAGATGTGACATGTCTTGGGGAGCTGAACTCAGTCAGCCACCAGGGATGCAGCTGCCTGCTGCCAGGACTTCGCCGGGACCCGGTGCCAAGTGAGCGCCCCGGATGGAGGCTAGGGACGTTTATGGCTGGACAGGCTGCAGCCAAATGGGCTTTAGCATCACAACGGGCTGCTGTGATTTCCTTTTGCCGTTACAGGGCCCAAATTTAGATCTGCGGTAAAACTTTACAGATTGTAAAGCTGAGAACATTGTTTGTACCTGGTGCAGCATAAAGCAAAAATAATCCCTTGGGATGCAAACCTCCCTTTGTTCAATGGATGTTGCCGTGAAGGCCATCGTTTGTGCCAGTCGGAACAGGAGGAGAAGTTGCTTCTGAGACACCCATCAAGTCAGTTACTCAGCGTGTGCTATCTGTGAACTTGACTTTGGGAGACTTAGTCCTGGGAAAGCTGGAGCTTCCCAGAAGCTCCAGGAGCCTGGGCTCTGATAAGACTGCTTGCCTGAGTGGCAGGGCACTTAGGGTGGCAGCACAGAGGTCCCCAGGGGCAGCCCGCCTGCGGGCTGGAGCGTGTCGGCGGTGGTGGCCAGCTTCCAGGGCAGCTGGTGAGGGGTGGTGAGGGCAAGCGTCCCTGCCCCTGCTCGACGGCGGGCTGCCGGGTAGGGACTCCCCGCACGACGGATGCGGCAGAGCGTGTGGGCGGGCTGGGGGAGGACCAGGCGGCAGTGATGGGCCAGGGTGCCAGGCCTGCCTTGCCCAGGGCTCCTGGCGGGGCAGGCACTCCAGAAGGGAGAAGGGGACGTGGCCAGGAAGCAGGAGAGGGGGAGGATGACCCAGGGAGGGCTGGACGTAGGACAGCACAAGCCACAGCTAGGGTGATGTCCAAACTGGACATGGAGGACAGGTTGAGGGGACAGTCTTGATGCAGTGAGAGAAGCAAGCCAGCTGGACTGGCTGCCCGCCAGGTGTGGGTACCACGCTAGCAGGTGGCCGCTGCTAACGTGCAGGAAGAGCCCGGGGGCCTGGGCCCTGCAGCGGGCTGGAATCCGTTCCTGGTCGGGGGCATGAGTGCCTGAGCTCATCTGAGCATCCTGTGTGATCCTGGCCCCCGACGTGGCTCAGTCCCACCACTGTCTCCTCCTCCTGACCCCAGCCCCTTTGGCCTCCACGTGTTCTCCTCCTTCTGCTCGGAAAGCTTCCCCCGCCCCCCACCCCCCCCCCCCCACTTGCCTGGGCAGCTCGTGGCTTCCAGATCTGGTCTCTCAGAGAGCTTTCACTCAAGTGTCCCATCTTCAGAA